AATGTCAAGTCAGGGCTTCCATGGTTTTGCTGGAAAACTTCTAGGAGGCCCGAGGGATATTTGCTAACCGTGCCAATACCAATTATTAAAGGGGAAGGGCGTTGGATGTTTAATAAACTTTACTAATCCTTTATCTAATGTTAGTCAATGAATTTAACCAATACTCAAGATCAACAAAAATGTTAAAAATCTAACTAACAGGCCTTTCCCTCTGAATTGTTTAGCCTTCACTCTCACCGCTTGCAGTTTTACCATTTCTCTATAATTCCAGTTAATCTTTCAGTTTAAATTTCTGCTTGTTTTACACTAGCAATTCAAGACAAAAACAACATTTTTTATACAGGTCACTGGTAAGAAAGAAGCACATATCTACAGTCCTTGGACAGGTGCATGGCAGTTTTATACAGCTACAGGTGCAAAGCAAATTGATTCGTTTAGGATGCATTTGACTTTATGCATAACTTTATGAATACGTTTGAATGTCGTGAAGCATAATGGCTGCTTAAAATGTGCTGGCAAGATTGAAATCTCCATGGTAATGCAAAAGATCTGCTGCTTGTATTTTGGTCCATTTAGGTGGCCATTACAGATACATAAAGTTCATACCTTTATTGTGTTCAAAATGAAAACTTCTCAGTTCTTCCATATGTGGGGCACATGTTTTGTATCTCCAGGTGCACCCTGCTGTACCACTGTACACTAAAATACCACTGCGCCCACTTCTAACACCAGTGCTGCCCCGCTGCCGAGCAGGGTTATTCAGGACCTTGCAGGTCAGTTTTCCAGTGGAATTGAAACCAGCAACTTGGATGGAGTCTGTGCAGGCTCCAAGAGAAACTCGTTTTATGTACAGACATAAATCAGTGCTGGAACAGAGCTGGTCAAACAGCATGCAGAGAAATCAAATTTTCCAGGAATCTCAGCCTACAACTAGTGCCTGATTTCCAAGGAAAACTGCCTTAAGAATTTATTCAAATAAGAGCCCAAGGCAGATAGGGAGCCCTTCTGCTGCTCCCATAGCTTCCTTCCTTCCAAAATTGCCTATATGCACAACTTTGCAGAAACCAAAATTAATCCAGCATATCTTTCCAAGAGTCAAAAACTGATCACCAGCTAAGATAAAACTCATCTGACAACATATAACAGCACCACCTGGTGACGCCTTCCATCACAGAATTGGTTTGCATGTTATATGCACTTTTATGAAACTTCTTGTGAAAGGAAAAATCAAAAGCAGAAAGACAAGGCCCCAAAGGATAGCTTCAACAAATACATCGAGGGCCAGATTTTCAAATGTTGTAGCTATGAGACTTGCATGTGCAGGGTGGATAACTCTGCATGCAAATATATTTTAGTGCAGTAATTGCATGCCTAATTTGCAGGGGCAATTATGCATATAGTTTGTATGTATAAAACATGCCTAAACATATGAAAAAAGCTGCTCCATGGAGTTCAAGCTATGTTTAAATTAAGGTACAATATCTGAAATCTGGGCACTGTTGAGATCATTTACATTTATAAGCCAAACATCTGGCGGTCTCTGCATCTCAGTTTTATGACCCATATTCACAAATTAAATTACCAAAATGATACAGTTTTCAGATGTGCACTGGAAAACAAGTTTTTTTTTAAGACTTAAAAGAGACACCCACAATGAGACTATCGAGTCTGTTCCCAATATTGCCTTCCAAGTAGCTTCAGGTGCACCGCCCTCCAATTTTTGTGGGATTGCAAATAACTTTAAATAACAACAATAACAATTCCTAGCACTGTTATGTGAAAGACCTGAATCAGGAGAAGCCGAGTGCCTAAGAGAGCCAGTGAAGTAGATTATATATAAGCTCAGAGGTGTAGCTGGGCAGTTTTGTGCCCTGGGTAGCAGCAGTGCTGGCTGCTATTTTTGTGCTCAGACCTAATGTACATTGATGGTTTCCCTTTAGCTCAAGATTGCATGGAAATCATTGTTAAGTAATATAGATTTAAGAACCTGTGTTCTGAGAGACAGGAAGGGGCAAGCTGAACCCGTAACTTATAGATTCATAGATACATAGAAGTAGGGTCGGAAGGGACCTTGTAGATCATCGAGTCCGACCCCTGCCTGGGCAGGAGGGAAACTGGGCTCAAGGGACCCGAGCCAGGTAGACATCAAGCCTCCTCTTAAAGACCCCCAGGGTAGGAGCCAGCACCACTTCCCTTGGAAGTTGGTTCCAGATCCTAGCCGCCCTGACAGTGAAGTAGTGCCTTTGGATGTCTAGTCTGAACCTACTCTCCAACAACTTGTGGCCGTTATTCCTTGTTATCCCGGGGGGCGCTAGGGGAAACAGGGTCTCTCCCAAACCCTGCTGGTCCCCCCAGTGATATTATAGATGGCCACTAGATCCCCCCTCAGCCTTCTCTTGTGGAGGCTGAACAGGTTCAGGTCCCGTAGCCTCTCCTCGTAGGGTCTGCCCTGCTGCCCCCGGATCATGCGAGTGGCCCTCCTCTGGACCCTCTCCATGCTGTCCACATCCCTCCTGAAGTGCGGCGCCCAGAACTGGACGCAGTACTCCAACTGCGGCCTGACCAGTGTCACATAGGGGGGGAGGATCACCTCCCTGGACCTGCTTGTGATGCATCTGTAGGTGCAGGACAAGGTATGATTAGCCCTATTGACTGTGGCCTTGCGTTGTCGGCCCATGTTCATCTTGGAGTCAATAATGACCCCAAGATCTCTTTCTGCCACTGTGCTCTCGAGAAGGGAGTTTCCCAGCTTATAAGTGTGCTGCTGGTTACTACTGCCCAAGTGCAGCACCCTGCACTTGTCTGTATTGAAACCCATCCTATTTTCATTAGCCCACCCCTGTAACCTGTCCAGGTCCTGCTGTAATCTGTCCTTCCCTATTAGCGTGCCCACCTCACCCCAAATCTTGGTATCATCAGCAAATTTAAACAGGCTGCTTTTTACCCCGTCGTCCAAGTCACTAATAAAGAAATTGAACAGTGCGGGCCCGAGGACCGAGCCCTGGGGAACCCCGCTGCCCACTTCCCTCCAGGTCGAAAAAGACCCATCCACCACCACTCTCTGAGTACGACCCCTCAGCCAATTTGCAATCCATCTGACTGTGTAGGCATCAATGTCACCTAGCTTTTTAATGAGAATGGGGTGGGAGATAGTGTCAAAGGCCTTGCTGAAGTCCAGAAAGACTACTTAGTGACCCTTTAGCCAACATCTTGGTTGGTGTGATTGCATCAGTTATCAAGGGCCTGACCCCAGAAGGTGTGAACAGCCCTTTACTCCCACTGAGTCTAAGCATCTGTCACCTTGCAGGGTCAGTCACAGACTCATAGAAAATGAGGGTTGGAAGGGACGTCCGGAGGTCATCTAGTCCAACCCCCCCTGCTCAAAGCAGGGCCAGCCCCAAATCAAACTGCAACTGGAGCTCTGAATATCAAAAGGTTTCATACCACAAATGGGTGCAAATGACTCAGACTGCAGAGAAATGACAATGCTTAAACTGGATTTGATTTTTCAAGTATTTAAAGAGCTTCAGCAGTCTGTACCTGTTACAAGACTGAGGGAGTCTATGCCAGCTGAGCGCATACTGATAACAGTTTAGCCAAACACTGCTCAGTATAAAACCTGGCTATGCTGAGCTCTGCTCCCGTAGCTGTACTCCCAGCAGCACCCAAGCCAGCTGGTTTAAAATTAGCTGGGTTACATCTACATGAGTCGCAGCTGCTGCAGTGATGGCAGTATAGCGGTACCCCAAGAGAGCTGAGCTCTTAACATCACCGTTTTGTTTGTCAGAGACAGATTCAGAACAATGATCAACGTCCTGGGAGATGCCCTTGCTGCTGGAATCATGGCTCACGTCTGCCGAAAGGAGTTCACCAAGGATGGCGATGAGGTAATGAGAGGACAGGAGGCATTCTGGGGCAACAGAGCCTCGGCACTGCAAGCCCGAGACAACATCTGGCATTCGTGTATTCTGGTTTGTCGATTATGTTCATAGGGAAGAACGTGAGGTTTTGTATCGCTTTTCAGGTGTGGGTAACAGGCATAGCACAAATGAGAAGGCTGATGTTGGATTTGTCATCTACTGGGGGAGGTGCAGGAGATGCATTAAGGGGCTTAAACAACTGGCAAAAACCTTTTCGTGACGACTGAAATCTCCTTCCCCCAGAGGTTAGAATATCACCAAGCAGGGGTAGCAGCTGGACCATCACCACTGCGCACCCCAACCAAGCAGGCAGCCTCAGGGCTTTTTAAAATTGTTGGGAGAAGGATGCATATACAGTGCGAGGCATGTGGTTGAACAGATTTTAAGAGCCAGAATACAGTGCCACGTGCCTTTGTGGAATACATGCCAGCACCCCTTCCACGGGCCAGGCCCCCCTGGAGCTGCGAATTATGGTGGGGGGCTACCTAGTACTCTACATGGGCCAGATGTAGGTGCCTAAAGTTTCTCTCTTATGGGTAACTCACCCTCCTCCCATAGGAGCATGCAACAAGTTACTCCCACAAAACATTATCCTTGTGAAAGTATAGCCGGGAGCAGAAGCAGGAGGGTAGAGATCTTTGAACAAGTGTCACGTGTGTCCATGTGTGTGTGAGCATGCACGCTCATGTGCATAAGTATGTACGTAACACAGAATCCATCAGGTCAGCAAAAGGCAAGTGCTGGGTGTGTTTAGGATCCCAGCGGAGAGTTTAACACAGCTCCAAACACTGCCGTTGGAATAACCTTCCTCCTCACTGCTGCACACGTGCCACTTGCATTCATCTAGTTGGTCTTTTCATACCTTCTGCATCACGTACAAGCCCTTGCTTTCCTTTCCTCGGCCCCATCAGGTTCCTGCTCCACCATGTGAACCTTCCACCACGCCAGTCCATTTCCTTCTCTTGGTGTTTTCACCCCTCCCTCCCCTTATGCCTGACACAGAAAGGGCCTAGTCTTCATTCAGATGCCTCTCCAGAGTGGGCTGCTTTCACTGCTGCAAGCCCTCCTCACTTTGAGATGCTGGGTCCCCATCACTCCGCTTCATAGCAGTGCCTCAAAACACTTCCCCAGCCAGGCCAGGACAGCTCATATCAGAGCGCTTTGCTCTGCCGCTCCTTCACGGGGCACATTTCCTTTTGGGGCACCTTGCGCAGCACTGAGTGTATGAACCACCGTCAGTTGTTTCACCCATTTTAGCGGCAAGTCTTTCTGGCGAGCCCCATGCACGCACTGGGAGCAATGTGCACGAAACAGTCCACCATTTCCTGCTTTCTTTGCTAGGGCCTTTTCCTGCTTGGCCCCCTTGACTCCTACCAGTCTCAGACAGAGCCCTTAGCACAGAGCCGCTGCTGATTTGGCCTGTCTCGAATCTGGGTCTCCTGCCAGCAGGGAGCAGCTGCCACCGGAAAGCCACGAGGGCACATTCCCACTCAGGTGGCTCCTGGGGACTGGGAATCCACTACCACTGTCCACGTCCACGATGCTGTGGCAGCATAGCAGGCGGGGGGCCCTGAGGCTCCAGCTGTTAACGGGGCTGCAGCTACCAGCAGGAAGTGTGGATACATCTACACACCCTTTCTAGTGGCTTTGGCAGCAAACGCCTTCTGTCACTCACGGGACCACCGCTGCTCTGCTACCTAGGATCTGCGTGTGGACGCACGCACCATTTTTCAGGCAGAAGCTGAACGCTGCTGCAAAAATGCTTAGTGGAGGTCAGGCATTTCGGGTGTTGTTTTTTTAAGCGTACAAAGTAACTGCAAAATATTTAATCGAGTAGAAGGCCAGGAGATTAGGATGATCATCCTCGCCTGACTTCTTGCGTAACACCAGTCTCCTGATGTTTCATGGCTGTATTTAGAACGCAGGCTGGGAGCACAGTGCTCAGGTTTCACCGTGCTTCATTCAAAGAAAAGCTACAACAAGAATATAAAATGCCTCCTAAGGGATTGCTCAATTGTTTGTAGGGAGATTTTTCTCTACGAGGTGCTCAACTGCCTTCAAATGCACCATCCATCCTCCTCGTGTCTTGGCTGCATACTTTGTGTAGTTAGTCATGTATACTCAAATGGCAAGTTATCTCAGCTGCAAGCCCACCCCGTCCCTCTGCCAATGTTTACGTATTATTTTCCCCATCAGCCCTTCTGATTTTCTATTCTAAATGATATTTCAACCTGTTACTCGTGAATCAGTCAGTAAAACTCTCCCTTCAACTTCCCCTAACTCAGACCACAAATACACATTAGCTCCGAGGCTTAGAAGGTATTAATAACAGGGAGGCAAAGAGGTGCCGAACTTGAATGAACCATTTGTCTGCCTAATCGTGTCGTGGCTCAGCTCTGCCCCACGCTCCTGAGAAAAACAGCCTCCGCCGCCGTGCCATTTGGCAGAGAGGGGAAACATTGTGATCGTGCAGTCTTGTATCTGACTGCATCTGTCCCAGAAGCATTGGGATTTGTAGCCCTCCCGGCATTTCAGCTTAGCTTAGTCCAACTGCAGATATAACTTTGGCTTCACTTATTTGGGGGATGTTACAGCATTATTGGCCTGGGTCAGACCTGGAGTTACGAACAACAGTGGGTTGAACTTGTACTTCGTAAAAAGCACTTTCTTTTTTCTGTTTGTTGGTATTTTTACAGTACTCGTTCAGGGCAGAAGGAACAGGGCATTTAGGTGCCCAATGATGCAGGCAGGAATTAGCACCAGATCAGGCAAAGCACTTAGGCACCTACCATGCCACTTAGGCATGATACAGATGCCTAACTACCTATGGACGGCCATGGGCACATAAGTTTTGGCAAGTCAAGTTACTTAGGCCTCGCAATTGTGCTACTGCACATGCCCAGAGGTACCACTGCCATCATGGCTGAGCGGAGCATCTCAGCCCCCGTCTCATGCCTATCTGGGAAGTAGGCATTGCCATACTGAAGTCTCCTGAGGGGCCCAATACAGTAGACATGCTCCGAGCCTGCCTGTGTACCCTGACAGCACTGCATCTAGCAAAGCATGGCAGCCACAGTCACTTTTGTTCAAACCCCCCCCCCACATGCATATTATTCAAGGACTGCTAATGTAAAATGTGTAAGCAGTCCTGAGCATGGGGGCGGGAGCCCAGGACTCGCCCTTCCAGACAAATGCCTTCATTGCTGGACTGCAGTCATGCTCCCTTTTTCTTGCTAAGTCTCTCTCTGACCCCACAAATGTTGCCTTCTGGGCTGCACTGTGCTCCAGTGATGGGATCAAGAGTGCCCCCCGCCTACCCTCCCTCCAACCTGGGCATTACAGTGTTTCAGTGGGGGGGAGACAAGGGAGGAGGGCATGGAGCCCAGGTCCCCACTACCTAGGCAAGTGCTCTAACCACTAGACTGCCACAGAGAATGTGGCAGTAGCCATGCTTTTCAAAAAGTAGGAGCTGGTTGTCCACACCAAAAGATGACTTGGGCACAGAAGTCTGAAGGGTTTCAGGCTATGCATCCCAGTCCCACTTCGGTGCCTAAATCAGGGCTGTAGGCAGGCACCGCAGTCAGGGTGCCCGATGGGGTTTCAGACACACACAGGGCACACATTTTATCCGAGGGGCTCTTCGGGAATCCCTACGGGCTGGTTTAGACAGCACCCATCCCACATGCTGACAACCTTTAATCCCTTTCTGAGTGCCACTGCATTGTACAGATTTAGGGAACCCGGGTGTCTGCCTAGGGTTTGGAAAGCCCACTTTCGAAGCCAGGCACCTAAAAGTCCACAACTGAGGTCCTTAAAAGCCCTGCAAAGGTGCTGCCTAACCCTGGAGGGGCCTACATTTTATTTTTGAGCATAAGAGCCCTGCCAAAGCATCCTCAGTCTTGACCTGCTCAGAGCCCACATAATGCTTAGGTCCATTAGGACACACAAAGCAGGCCTTCCTGAGGAGGAGGAAGTGGAAGTGATGCTGTCTATGCTCCTGCAGCTGTATGGTGAGCGAACTGGCCCAGGACACGGAGACCCCAGTTCTGGTCCCTGCTCCGCTGAATATTTCCCTGTTTTGTGTCCAGTATTCAGTGGAGGTGGCAGAGGTGGGTTTGAGTCCTGGGCTGGTGCTCTAACCACTCTGCTCCTGGATAAAAGGGAGCGTGGGATCTGCTCCAGCCACGTTCAGAAAGAAAAGATTGATGCCAGGAAAGGGACTGTGCGGACAGAGGCACCTGTGCGCGGTCCACAGCAAAGTGCACAAACCCTGGAGAGGGGCAGGACTGAGGATAGTGCAGCATTTCCATTGGCTTGGTTAGGTGGCACCCTGCCCCTAGGTGCCTAGCTTCTCCCCCACACCGTGGAAGAGCAGCTGTCAAGCGGCTGTGGCTCTCAGGCTCCCACAAGAGTGATGAGACAAATACAAATTAGACACTGCAACCTCAGACCCTTTGATGATTTAACCCTAAGGGGGGGTTACGAAAGTGCCTGTGCATCCAACTCCCATCGACTTCCAATCGAGATTTAGGCACCTGCTTTGGTCATTCTTCCTTGGCATAGATGTGCCTTATTAGGTACTCCAATACCTTTGTATATCTGGCCTTGAAAGCCCAATTCTCATTTAAACTAAGGCTCTTGTAGGTAGACAGACCTTAAAGCTACATTGCAGAAGCTGTGTATCAGCTGACTTTAAGTCCCCTTGATACAACCAGGGAAGTGTTAGGGGGCCTCAGAGTAAATAAAAATCAAATCCTGAAGGCGCCTGTGCCTCTAAGTTTTCCTAATGCATTAGAGAGACTGCATGCAAACTCCTGAGATAAGGAATAACTTCATTTTATACACAGGAGAGGACACGCACAGCCCAGAGCAGGGATAATCTACAGACTTGCTGTTTCCCACACAGGTGCCACTGATCTGTGAAACTAAACCTATTAGCATCCACCAGCTCATGGCTTACCAGAGAAATGGCTGCGTGAAGCACATGAACGAGTGTCGTGGACCCGAAATTGTGAAAGTATTTCAGCATCACATACCTGTACAAGTGGAGCAAGAAGAAAACCCAGTGGAGAACCACATGCGGAAATGTCAAGACCACTGCACTATTGAAATCAATGAATTGGAAACAAACGTGTAATCGCTAGACTTGATGGTATCCGATACCCTGTGACCTGATACCCAATCGCTACCTCACAGCTGGCGGGCAGGACTCTGCCTCGAATGGAAAACCGTGGAGTTATTGCCACACTGCTTGTACCGGAGCTAGGAGACCAGCTGTGAACGTCAGAAAAGGCACAAGGCGAGAAAGAGAAGAGGGCTGCTCCAGTGGGATGATTTGAATACTGGAAACTTAACCGATGGACAGTTTTGGTTTTACTCTGGGCACAGTGGTTTGATTCCAGCATCGTATGTTGACACACCTTGGCTCTTTTTGTAAATTTTTTATTTTGATTCTTTTTCATTTTCTAACAAAAGCCTTTTTTGTGTGTGTGCAGCTTATTAATTATGCCCACGACGTGCATAGATTGCTTGGTACGTGACAGTATTTCAGAAAACAGACTGACGCTACTTCTTCTAGTCCCTAAACAACGGAGGTCACACTCGGGTTGAGAATAACACTAAGAAAGCTGCACTGATTTCCTAGTCTCTCAAGGCAATTCTTTTATCATTCATAATGCTGCAAACTGAAAATGGAGCGAAATCTGTATCCTTGCAGGGAAACATTAAAAAAGCAAGGCTGGTGGACACACTTTGAAGACTGGTATCAAACTGCACGGTCTAGTACAAAGACGCCTGGACTCCCGCAAAGGACAGTTTGTATTCCAAGTGCCAGATTCACACGTCCGTGTTTTAAAAGTCCAACTGCACTGGAGTCAGTCTCATATAGCCACAGTGGCAGAGCCACGTCAGCCCTCACACACACACACACACACACACACACCCCCACACTGGTGCTAAAGAGTGCTCATATATTCTCTCCTTAAATTTGTAGGCTCTTCTACTGTATATATGTGTAAATTTGATGCTCAAAGCTCTTGAACAACATGCTTCATCCCAAGGGCAGACTAAACAGAGACTGAAATCCAGTACAGATGACTAATAGTTGGGCTCCGTGGGGAGTTGGCTGTGGAAACTGGCCTGTTATTATTCATTATACCGTGGTTGGACTCTATTGAATGTTGTTTCTCTTGTTCAGCTATCTACCGAATCCTTCAGTTAAAATCAAATCTGCTGGGTGTGTAATGTTTGTAACGGAAAACACTTTTAATAAACCTGCCATTGCAAAACCTAGTTGTCCGTGTACTTCTAGAAGGAACATATTCTTGTTTCGCTCTTGAGGAGCGGGAAGGAAAAGCATGGAGTTGGGGGAATTGCTGGAAGGGGGTTTTAGTACAAAAAAAAGAAAAATCACAGAAACGATTTCCTACCAAGCACATGACATGTGTATTTTGTGTTTGCTGCATTTGTCACTTAAGACACATCAGCTCCCCAAATCCATATCTGGTGCTGTAATATATTGCTAAACATCAAGGCAACTTCCGTGGGAAAAAATGTAAAATTAATCAAAATAGTCTGGTGAGAAAGGGCAAATTCTGCACCACTGGTCGAAAATACGAGTGCTGTAATGCGTCCCACTAGTGGTCTGTGTGAGCCGTGTGTATTCACCTGCTCTTTAAAGCATTCTGGACTATCTCTCATAACCTACTCATGCAGCAGCCACTTCTATCTACAACATGTGTAGCTCAAATTTTCTGGCTTCAAAATACAAAGCCTGAAAACAACTGTCATGTCTTCATTTCCTGTAACACTGCACACATCCAATCCACTTCTTAGCCATCCGACCTGATGAAGAATGTCTTGCTTGCAAAAGCTTGTTTAACTCTATCCTAACAACATAATCAGTCCAATAAAAGGTATCACCCTAAGAAATCCTTGCCTCTTGCATAATTTCTGTTCCATTGTGGCTACAGCACCACTCTTACGCTGCCCTCACTTCTTAGTGTCAATTTTTATGTCTCCATCATAATATCAGTCATCATAAGATCTTGGTTGTGCTCACCATGAAAACACTGGGCATTTTAATGGACTTTTATATTGTTCGTAGCTATTTGGATAGCCGCTGGCTGCTTGGGACAGCAGATCTCCAAAGCCGTCTGATTTAAATGCTAATGATTACTCATGAAAATTCGGATAGGTAGCGTATTATCTCCTCTTCTAGTTAAAGAGCAAGAGGCCTCACACCCTATACATAATAGAAGAGCTGTACATATTCAAAACAGTGAGTTCCTGAGCAAGCCCCAGATTAAATTGCCTACATATGATGAGCCTGTCTGCTCAGGTGGCAGTTGATTCATGGAACCAGAAGAGGTATTATATGTACCAGAGACCGGGCCTCATCCGCCACGGTCTTGTCCCTCACACAGTAACTTGTAACAATTCAAGAGGCTGTAAAATCCTAGCATTCAGAACTGGTTTAGAGCATTTTCGAGCTCTTTTGCATGGGTGCAGATGACTAGAAAAGGTGCAAATCAGCCCCAACATTAGTAATGGGTAGTCCAAAACCAAGTACATTTTGAACAAGTCTGACCACATTCTCTGATCCCAGGATGCCATTGTCTGCCAAGCAGAAGGTGCTGCTGGGTTCCCAGCCAGCAAAGCTACATGCTGCTTTGAGCCAACCAGTAAAATGCAAATCCCAGTGCCTGCCCCGAGTGATCTGGCCTAATCTAATCTATTCTAATCTGTTTTATCATTATTTTTAGGAAACAGGTCATCACAATTTTGTTCTGTTGCCATTAGGATGGTTCCTGGGCTGTACACTGCTGTTTTACTCCCACCTGTACAGCTCCTGCTTGTAATACACTTCGATGTTTGCTGCAACTTTCCACAAAACTGAGTACTGATTTCTTATTTAGGATCCCAGAGCTTAGGACTCAGCTCCTACCTTTAAGTGTGCTGCTTCAAAACCATCTTTCACCTTGTATAAACCATGTGTAATGTCACCCTGTGCTGGGGATTCGTCCCTTTTGCTCCATGGTGCAATGACAGCAGATCTGAGAACTCACCTTGATAACGCCTCCAGGGGCTCTTCCCCCGAATCTAGAGGCATGGCAGTCTGCAGAGTGATGAGCCTCAAGAGACCCAGTCAACCCTAGCATCAGGATCCTGGGTGGTCCAGGGTAGGACTGGAAGGGACCTCCCAGGCAGGCAAGTCTAGTTCCTTGGAGACAGAACTAGGATTCAAAAATGACCCTGATACTTTGGGAAAATGGTCTGAAATGGAAGGAAATGCAATAAGTGCAAACTCTACACACAGGGAGGAATAATTAAATGAGTAAATGCAAACTGTGGAGTGACTGGCTGACTACAGTACTACAGAAAAGGATGTAAGAATTACACCAGATGACAAGCTGAACCGGAGCTAACAATGGAATATTGTTTCAAGAAAGCCA